TCCCGGTGACAACTCCTGGATATTTTCTGGGCAACATTTTCAGAAGTGGTTTGCCTTAACCTTCCCCCTTTTCCTGTAGACCGGTCCCAATCCAGGCCAAATGGGTTTCGTTAGCTAAGGCAGGATTTGAACTCACAGTCTTTCCCCTCCCTCACCCGCTTTTGATCCTTCCAAATTGGCTCTCCTCGCCACAGTGTGCTTCTCTTTACAAACCTGTTTCATATTTTATTTCTTACCTCGATCGTGTCCTCTTTTTTTTTTTTTTCACAGAATCCGCCAAGATGGGGAAAGAGTTCGGCAACCTGATGAAAACCAGGCACATCGTCACCTATTACCTGTCCCCCTTTGAACAAAAATTGTTCCCGAACATTCCCCACAGGATCTTAAACACCTGGAGGCGATTTAGCTCCTCCATCTTCCGGGTGGTGCCTCGTAAGTGAGGAGGGCAGGGGAGACTTCTTTTTTTAAACAGGTTCTTCTAAAGCAGAGGTCCTCAACCTTTTGGGCACTAGGGACCAATTCCGTGGAGAGAGGGCGGCAGGCGCGTGGTTTTGTCTGCTGCCTGCATCTCGCAAATGGGGCTTTTCTTGTTTGTGCGGACCGGTTGCTAGCATGCCGCAGCCCGGTACTGGCCCACAAACCGGGGTTTGGTTGGGGACCCCTGGTCTAAAGGTTTTTACTCTTGAGGACTAGCCCCTTGGATTTCTGAAATCCATCCACTGATCAGTTGAAACTGTAAAGACCCACCCCACTTTGCATCTTAAGAAGACAGAACTCTTGGAATAATTCTTCCAACAGGAATCCTTTATTAAGAGAAAATGGTTGCAGGCATGCTAGACAGGACTTGGGGTCCAAGCTCTCCCATTCAAGGTTTTAAGGGGCAGTAGTCAATCAACCCCCCTTCCAGTGATAGTTTCAAGTATCACAATTGTTCCGTCTGGATGGAGACTTCAGATAACTACATTACTCTTCTTACCTTCGATCGTCAGTCAGCTCTTTGAAGTGTTTGAGGGCCATTTTTGTTTTCTTTCTTATGGCAGAATCCGCCAAGACATCCGGGAGGAAAGAGTCATCTTCGGCTGGAAGCAGAGGTGGGGGTTTCTGATGGCTGTTTCTTTTGGCTTAGCTGAATACCATCTGTCTGGGTTGTGCTGGGGGGCCAGCGGCATTCTACAGCTCGATGCCCTTCTCTTCCGCACTTGAAACACCCCATTTGCTTCTTGGCTGTATCCGATGATTTCACCGGTTTGTGTCAGCTCACAAATATGTCGATCTCTGCTTCCTCTGCCCGAAGTCGATGTGGGTTCCAAGCATCACAGGTTTATCTTTAAACATTCCTGGATGGCGAATATTCAGCCAGCTGCCTCATCATTCTTTCCGGGATGGTCTTCTGCCTACTGAGTTCTATTGGAGTGCAAGGCAGGGCAGGGCAGATTGCACGAGATGCGGGCTTTGTCGCTGGGAATATCCTTATTCCTTGTAAGGACTTGGGTTAGGAAAAACCCCAAGTGTTGGCTCTTTGAATTTCACTTCCAACGGTGGAGTCTTGGAATGGAGTAGTGGTCCAGATTGCCAACTGGATCAGTAGATGTCCCTGGGGTTGCAGGTTCCACTCCAGGAAGGCCGTAGGGCTCAGTCTCCCTGAGAGTTCTCTTCATCAGGTCAATAGCTTTCTCTAGGATCCAGTCTGAGTACGGTGCCCAGCTTCCTCCCTCTTCACTTGGCAGGGATTTCTCCATCTCCTGTGGTTGCTTGGTCCGTCTGTCACCTTTCTGCATCTTTCCAACGCCCATCACCAATGGGTGCTTCTTCTCCTGAGGAATCTTCTCGGATCCCACATCTGGCAAGGCGGAGCGGCTCTCTTTCCGAGTTGCTCCATTGTCTGACATTTTTTGCAAAATCCCCGGCAAGGGTCTCCCTTCCAGGTGGATTAATTTTGCAAGTCCTGTCTAATGTAAGGACCCACCCCACTTTGCATCTTAAGAAGACAGAACTCTTGGAATAATTCTTCCAACAGGAATCCTTTATTAAGAGAAAATGGTGCAGGCATGCTAGACAGGACTTGGGGAGCTCTCCCATTCAAGGTTTTAAGGGGTTCCCCAGTAGTCCCACCCAATCAACCCCCCTTCCAGTGATAGTTTCAAGTATCACAATTCCACCCCTTTCTTCTTTCTTCCGTCTGGATGGAGACTTCAGATAACTACTGAAAGGCAATTACTCTCCTTTGGTATGCTAACACTTCGAGGTTACAATAAACACACATTCAGCATTTTCTTTGAAGTGTAAGAAGGAAGTGAGGGCCATAAAGCCCCTTTGTTCTCCCCCTTCTCTCCCTCTTATGGCAGAATCCAGAGAAGGCAGAATTGGGAGTTTCTATATTTGATAATTTAAAGATGAAATATAATTGGATTCTGACAGAAACAGGAAAGAGAGGTACATGACCAGGTGGAGAAAGATTCCTCTCCTGCTTTCCCTTCTCAGCTGCTGTTATTGGGCCAGGTGTGCAGCAGGTCCCATTCAGAGGAGAGATTTATTGGGCGCATGGAATTGTAATGTTTGGAAGGACGGCACGGATCCGCTAGTCCTTTCCTCTCCAAGGTGCAGGAAAGGGGACAGAGTGGGGACAACATGTCAGCCCTTCAAGGTAGATCAAATGGGAACACCAGAGCCACAAATACAGGGTCACAATGGAGCCCAAAAACCTCGGTTGGTAAGCAAGACGCTCGTTAAGTGAGTTTTGGTCCATTTTACGACCTTTACACCGTTGTTAAGTGAATCTGGTTTACCCATAGACTTTGCTTGCCAGAAGGGGATGCTGCAATCGTCATAAACACGAGTCGGTTGCCCAGCCTCTGAATTTTGATCCTGTGGCCGTAAAGAGGGCGCGATGGTAATAAGTGTGAAAAACCGCCCCTAAGTCCCTTTTTTCGGTACGGTCGTAACTTGGAACGGTCGCTAAATGAAGGGTTATAAATGTGAGGAAGCCAGATTCATTTAACAACTGTGTGACTAACTTTAACACCTGCAATGCTTTACTTAGCAACTGTGCAAGAAAGGTCATACAGTGGTGCAAAACTCACATCTTGGTTAGCAACGTCAATTTTGGGCTACATTCTGGTCATAAGTTGAGGACCACCTGTATTTATTTCAGGAAAGCGCTAGGTGGTGCACGAGAGCAACAACAAAATCAGAATTTGCCCTGTTTTCAATTCTCATCAACGGCCTCTGCAGCCGTATAAAAACAAAGAGCAAGGAAATAAGTGCTGAAGCCATTAAATTAATAAACACGTGATTAAAATATTAATTAACCTGAGCTAGGCAAGCATGCAAAAACAACAGCTGGGACGCTTTTTAAGAAGAGACTGGACAGCCATTTGTCTGAAATGGTATAGGGTTTCCTGCCTGGCAGGGGGCTGGACTAGATGACCTCCAGGGTGCCTTCCAACTGTAAGGCAATTACTGTAATCCAGATATTATAATGTGCATTAAAAGCTTCAGGTTTGGTATTGTTTTGATTAGTGTAATTTATGCCTAAGTAAGGGTGAAAAACTGTGTTTGGTCCTTTCTGCAAGTCTAAACTTTCCTTCTCTTTTGTGTTTTTAAGAGTTTGTCATTGGGTACATGATTTATTCCTGGGCAAACGACTACAATAAAAAATTGAAAAGGAAAAACCCAGCTGACTACGAAAACGATGTGTAAGAAGAGTCGTTGGAGAAGAAAATGTCTTTCAGCTTTTTTCCCGGTTCTGAAGCTCCGACACATCGTTGTAAGAACCCTCTGATCCAATAAACCTCTTTTGTGTTCCACCCTCGGGTGTCATTCTTTGAGCTTTTTTCAGGGATGGGTAACTTCAGAAAGAATATTAAAATATCATTGTGGGCTGAACCGAACCTGGGGAGGGGGTCTTTCCTCGCAGCACCAAAGTTTAAATTATTCCACCAACAAAGAATATTTGTAGCTCGGTTGAAACACTAGCACTGATGAGGTTACCTAGTTGGGTAAATGAAATGTCTGCAAGAGAACCACCAAGCTCTGAGAGCACCAAGGACCCCAATCTTTCTCCTCCTCCTCCTCCTCCTCCCTTCTAGCACTGATGATATTACCTAGTTGGGTCATGAAAGGTCTGCAAGAAAGCCACCAAGTTCAGAGAGCACCAAGGACCCCACAGTCCTCCTCCTTTCTAGCACTGATGTTACCTAGTTGGGTGATGAAACGTCTGCATGACGTTTATCTGTCCTCTATTATCTACCTAATTTCTATCTATCCATCTATCATCTATTTTCTACCCATCTATTTATCTACCATCTACGTTCTAGCTTCTATTTTCTATATATCATCCACTTGTTTTCTATCCACATATTTTTTAATCTATCTGTGTCTGCTATTTTCTATCTAGCGTTTTTCTATTTCTCTTTTATTACCTACCTTCTGTTTTCTACTATTTTCTACCTTCTATTACCTACCTATTTTCCATCTATCGATCCATCTATTTATCTACCTATCTTCTATTTTCTAGCCATTCTCTTTCCATCCATCCATCCATCTATGAAATTGATATGAAATCGCCTCTCCCGCGGCGGCGACCGAGAAATCGTAACTTTCTTTTATTTTATTGTATTTTGGGACCTCAGGGTCGGACGCAAAAGAGAACAAGGAAACCAAAACCAAAAAACAGGCTCGGCTGGAAAGGCGGGTAAGGCGGGAGGACACGCCTTCGTGGGCGGGGATTTAAAAATGGTGAATAGAGAAAGTGGGAGTGACGGGCGTCCCGCCGGACCAATCGAACGCCGGGCATGGCGGGGTGGGTGGGATTGGGTGAGGAGAGAAGCTCCGCCCTTTTTAATTCCCTCTTTGCTCCTCTCGTTCGGCTTTCAAGTTTGCCTCGCTCCGCCCCCGCCTCCCCTCCTCGAGGGAGGGAGTGAGCGAGCGCGCACGCGCACAGGAGAGGAGGCGGGGGGGGCGGTGAGGGAAAGCGGCGCGAGCCGACGCGGGGGCGACGCCACGCCACGCGACGCCGGGCGCGAGGAGGGGCGGGGTCCTTCTGCGGTCCGCGCGCCCGTCTGTCAGTCCGGCCGCGGCACGGCTGAGGGAAGGCGGTCAGCTCCGCGCGCTCGGCGGCGCCATGGCGGAGCGAGGGTCGTCCGTCGTGGGCGGCCCCCGGGGCTCCGCGGCCGGCCCTTCGCTGCTCCAGCCGGCGCCCGGCGCCCCGCCGTCGATGCCGCAGCCCTCCGCGGGATCCCCGGCCCTGACGGCGGCGGCGGCGGGGACGTCCCAACTGCTGGCCCCGCCGGCGGTGCCTCCGCCGCAGCAGCCCTCGGCGTCGGCCGCTCTGCCCGCCGCTGGCCTGGGGGCTTCGGCCCCCGGAGGAGGAGGAGGAGGATGCGGCGGCGGGGCGCCCCTGGCTCAGGCCCCGTCGGGGTCGGGCTCGGCGGCCGGGGGTCGCCCGGTGCAGATGAACCTCTACGCCACCTGGGAGGTGGACCGGAGCTCGCCCAGCTGCGTGCCCAGGTAAGCGGCGCGGGGGTTGGGGTGGGGGTCACTTCCCATCATCCCCAGCTGTTAAAAGTCCTCTGGATTGGGGGCTCCCCTCCCATCATCCCCAGCCGCTCAAAGACTCCCGGGGTGGCAGCTCAGCTCCCATCATCCCCAGCTGTTAAAAGACCTCTCGAGTGGGTCCCACTTCCCATCATCCCCAGCTGTTAAAAGTTCTCTGGGGTGGGGGCTCCCCTCCCATCATCCCCAGCCGCCCAAAGACGCCCAGGTGGCAGCTCAGCTCCCATCATCCCCAGCTGTCCAAAGACCTCTGGGTTGGAGGCCCACATCCTTCCCAGCTTCTGGACCTGCCTCCCCAGCCAGCTAGGGGCCCCTGGGGGACACTTCCCATCATCCGCAGCTGCTAAAAGACCTCTGGATTGGGGGCTCCCCTCATCCCCAGCCGTCCAAAGACTCCTGGGGTGGCAGCTCCGCTCCCATCATCCCCAGCTGCCCAAGGGGTGAGGGCCCACCTTCCATCATCCCCACCTGCCCAAGGACCCCCTCCCATCATCCTCAGATGTCAAAAATATCTACCACCCACCCAAAGACCCCCTAAGAGGGCAGCCCACCTCCCATCTTCCCCAGCCACTCAAGGACCTCTGAGCTGGTGGCTCACCCCCCCCCATCCCCAGCCACCCAAAGACTTCCCACTTCCCATCATCCCTAGCCCCCAAAGAATCCTACCGTGGGCATCCCATCCTCTCCATCCGTCCAAAGGCCCCTGGAGTGATGGACTACTTCCCATCATCCCCAGCCCCTGGGATGAAGAAGCAGTGATGCAACTCAACCCCCCCTCTTCGTCCTGGGTTCCCCTCTCCCTCCCTCTCCCCCCTCCCCTCTCACTGGTATGTTTCTTTATAGTAAAAGACCCCCCCCTTCATAGTTCTAGTCCTGGTTCCTCTTTCCTTGGCGACCCCCATCTCCTCCTTTAAGTAAAGGGGTTGGATGGGGAGCTGTCCAGTTGATTATCCCCCCCCCCGCCTTTGAAGCAGACTTCCCATAGATTGGGGGGAGGAGATGAGGAGGGTAGGAAGATTTGAAAAGGGGGGGGTTGATGGGACATGGAGTTTTGCTCTGTCGGGATATGGACCCATTCTCAAAGCCACAGGAAATGGGGAAAGCAACGAAGGTGACATGTTCTTGGTTGGGGGGGTGGGATAAGAAGGCTCCCTCCCTTTGGGAAGCCACGGTGGGACAGGACCCCTTTTCAGGCTGGATGTGTTTCTTCTACCAATGTGGTTGTGTGGATGGTTTGCCTCTTCTGTGGCCATTGGGGGGAAGGAATGCTGGCTTGTTAATTCATTGGAGATGGTCACTCTCATCTTACAACTATTTGTCTTGGGGACCCGAAGTTACAACTGCGCTGAAAAAAGGGACAGACGGCAGTCCTCGCCGTTACGACCAACCTGCTATCTGACGTATATTTACAACCGTTGCCGTGTCCCAGGGCGGTCCCCATTTTTCCCAGCCGGATTCGCTTAACAAGCTTGCGATTCATTTAACAACTGCAGTGTATTTGCTCAACCCTGGCTGGGGAAAAAAAAAAAGGTGGTAAAATTGGACACAGTTCATTTAGGAACTGCCTTGCTTAGCAGTAAGTCATAAAGTGAGGACTGTCTGAAGTCTTACATCCAATAGGCGGTCTCCCTGTGCTTAGTGCGAGGCCAACCGGGGTTCCTGGAGAATCTTCCTCCTTGTCAAAATATGATCTGAGTTGCAGGTTGGTGCATTTACATCTCAGATAATGCGCTGAAGTTACTATATACTCCCCCGCGTGCAAAGTGATTACGACCACTTCTTCAAATTGAAGGTCCTTTGTGCCAATAGGCTACTGAGATGTTCCTCTCTTGCTTAAACCTCCTTCTGACCAACATAGGCAGTTGGCGAGCTACTTTATCCAGCTGGTCTGCTTGCTCCAAATAAATTTTCCTGACCTTTTGTGCAAAAATCAGAAATTTGCTACAGTAGAAGGATGCCCTTTTTAACTGGCACGTTATCTGAAAAGAGAAAGGTGCTTTTGCAAGTGCCGGCACACTTAGAGGATGGCATTTTTAATCAGTTTTTTATTGTAAATTCTTGGGAGGGCTGACTAGATCTGCTTTTCTTCAAGGAGGAGCTGATTCAGGTTTGTTTGGGCAAGATGAGACAAAGTCGTTTCCAAATAAAAGAGACTTCTGAGACCAGCGTTTCGTTAAAACTCTTCATAAATCTTATTTTACCTAAGCAAACCTGTCTCCAGGTATCACCCAGCCCAGTTTTGGATAGCTGGATACAGAGGTAGTTATATAAGCACTGGAAAAAAGATGACTTGGGGACTGGTCATGGCACTTAGGACCATCTCAGCATCCTCACAAGCATTTGGTCAAAATGTGGGTGCCTAGCAACCGGCATGTATTTATTTACATCCTGGGGCCTTCCCGCTGGCTTCCAAAAAGCAAAGTGGGGGGGGGGGGTGAAGCCAGATTTGCTTACTGACCAGGTGATTCACTTAAGAGCTGCAGTGATTTGCTTAACAAAAAGGGTCGTAAGATCAGGCTCAACTGACTTAACAATTGCCTTGTTTAGATAGATGGATGGATGGATGGATGGATGGATGGATGGATGGATGGATGGAAGGAAGATTGATAGACAGAGATAGACAGAAGCTAAAGATGATAGATAGAGAGAGACAGACAGACAGACAGACAGATAGCAAGAAAGACCGAAGCTAAGGATGATGGAGGGAGCTAGCTAGCTAGAAAGACAGACAGACAGACAGACAGACAGACACAGACAGAATTTAAAGATGATGGAGATAGAGAGAGAGACAGACAAACAGACAGAAGTTAAAGATAAGGGAGGTAGATAGATAGATAGCCTTTATTGTCATTTTTTACTGTGGGCACAATGGCACCCCTTAAAAATGAAATTTAGCTGCTTGCTCTCAGAGTGTACACATACATAACACATATTTAAGCATGCTGCATACAACCTATGTATAGACCCACACCCTTACATGTAAGTAACATATATAAATATTAACCACTGTTTAGCAGCAGATATTCTGGGCCCATTCTGGTCGTATGTCACGGGCCACCTGTGTTTTGATCAATGCAAAAGTAGCATCGCCTTTCCTGTCCTCTTGCAAGGAGGATGTTTTCCTCTCCTTTCCGTGAAAGTATAAATATTTCCCTGAATTTTTTCCCATTTGTTGAGAGAGGGAGTTGGAAAAGAGCTGTTTTAACCCTTAAGCCAGACCCCCCTCGTCTTATCAAATCAATATTTTCCTGCTAACAAGCACGCCTCCCAGTGGCTTTCTAATATCCCTAGTGTGTTTTGTTGTGTTGTGTTATCAGTGTTTTCAGGTCCTCACTTGTTTCTCCTGAGTGGCATAGGTCTGGGGCTGTTTATTAGATAAGGCTTTCTTTCTTTCTTTTCTTTTTTTTCCCGCTTCTGAAGATCAGTTTCACTAGTGAAAAAGCTAATTTTACTTTTGATTTTTTTTGCGGGGGACTGAAATGTTCACTCAGTTTGAATTCAAGACTTTGCACTTGTTTCTTCGCCCTGCACCATCCGGGAGAGAGCTTTTAACTACAGAATGTAATTCAAATAGCTTTTTGAAAGCTAAATCTTAGCCGGACTTTAGCCGAAATCCATTTTAAGTGGGAGGGCCTCCTCCTTCAGGAAAATAAAAAACAAGAGCTTGGACATTAGGACTCTATCATGTTTCCTTCTTGTACAATTAGATGGGGGGGGCGAGAATCCTGTATTTGCAGTTTATTTTAATAAAAAATATATATCTTTACCGTTTCTGCCAAGCTTTTAAATTGACAAGCTGCCTTGAGTAGCATGGGGGGGGGGCTGTTTCTTAAGATGCCCTTGGCTGTTGCTAGCATGACTTTTGAAAAGATCAAATGATCAGTGGATTATTTCAATTTTTTTTGTATGGAGAATGGGTGCATCCCGGGTGAAAAACAGGAACGTGATTTCTGCAGTCAAAATGATCCTTATTATGAGATGGTTTATATAAACGGGGTGGGTGAGACTCTATCTTCCGTTGAACAGAAAATATTGGTTTTAAGAGCGTGATCAAAGCCACATTAGTGCCATGTTTACTTGGGAGAATTAAACATGTTTTTTTTTTTTTTGAGTGGGATGTAAAGCAACAGTTCTTAGTTATCTTCCGAACACTTTTGAGTAGGGCAAGGGGTCTTCCAACTGGGCCCTTTGATGACTGGTGGACTTCAACTCCCAGAATTCCTCAGCCAGGCAAAAGTCATCAAAGGGCCCAGCTGGAAGACCCCTGCACCAGAGCCCAAAAATGGAAATAGCACCGTACCCTAGAGTCAGACATGACTGGACAGCAGAAAGCTTTATCTTTGTAATAACAGTAGGATCGTCACTCGGTTGAATCCGCGTCGGATGGTGAGCTCACTAACCGTCGGTGCATTTGCAAAGGAATTCTGTTTAAATGGGCCTTCTAGGAAGCCTTTCCCAGTGAAACAATTTTGCAGGAAAAAGGGGAAAAAAAATATCCTCATTATCAGGCCTTTCCAGCTTCAGACAAATTTTCTCACCATTCCTTTTCCAAATTTAGACTTTTCTTAGCATCTGCTAGCCAGGTTGTGTCTCAGGAAGAAGTCCCATCTGGAGAGGGGGGGGGGCGGTCCTCCTCTTTGTGGGACACCCTGCCGTGAACCAAAATGAGATTTCCGCTGGGAACATAAGGAAAAGGCCACCGATGGGACGCTTGCTCCAGCACTGCTCGGCCCCTTTTTGTCCAATTCCCTATCTTTTTTTTTTTTTTTCCTTTCTTTTGGGAGATGCGTGCAGCCTAACCGGCGAAAATAATTTCCAAGTCTTGAACACTTTCCTTTCCCTTCTCCAAAAAAAGAATGCATAGCTAAAATAGCTCCCTCCCTCCAACCCCCCCCCCCGCCCCATTCCATCCTTTAATTCTCAGCTCCATCTGTTGTTTTTTCATGCCGGCCGTT